TAGATGGGATACAAGGAGAATAGAAGTATCAGGGAAGAGAGAGGTGAAGGTTTATAAACTAAAAGAGGAGGCAGTTAGGGTAAGATATAAACAGCTATTAGAGGATAGATGGGCTAATGAGAGCATAGGCAATGGGGTCGAAGAGGTATGGGGTAGGTTTAAAAATGTAGTGTTGGAGTGTTCAGCAGAAGTTTGTGGTTACAGGAAGGTGGGTGCGGGAGGGAAGAGGAGCGATTGGTGGAATGATGATGTAGAGAGAGTAGTAAGGGAGAAAAAGTTAGCATATGAGAAGTTTTACAAAGCAGAAGTGATGCAAGGAGGGAAGAGTATATGGAGAAAAAGAGAGAGGTTAAGAGAGTGGTGAAGCAATGTAAAAAGAGAGCAAATGAGAGAGTGGGTAAGATGTTATCAACAAATTCTGTTGAAAATAAGAAAAAGTTTTGGAGTGAGATTAACAAGTTAAGGAAGCCTAGAGAAAAAATAGATTTGTCAGTTAAAAATAGGAGAGTTATTAAATGGAGAGTTAGAGGTATTGGGAAGATGGAGGGAATATTTCGAGGAATTGTTAAACGTTGATGAAGATAGGGAAGCTGTGATTTCGTGTATAGGGCAAGGAGGAATAACATCTTGTAGGAGTGAGGAAGAGCCAGTTGTGAGTGTGGGGGAAGTTCGTGAGGCAGTAGGTAAAATGAAAGGGGGTAAGGCAGCCGGGATTGATGGGATAAAGATAGAAATGTTAAAAGCAGGTGGGGATATGGTTTTGGAGTGGTTGGTGCAATTATTTAATAAATGTATGGAAGAAGGTAAGGTACCTAGGGATTGGCAGAGAGCATGTATAGTTCCTTTGTATAAAGGCAAAGGGGACAAAAGAGTGCAAAAATTATAGGGGAATAAGTCTGTTGAGTATACCTGGTAAAGTGTATGGTAGAGTTATTATTGAAAGAATTAAGAGTAAAGCGGAGAACAGGATAGCAGATGAACAAGGAGGCTTTAGGAAAGGTAGGGGGTGTGTGGACCAGGTGTTTACAGTGAAACACATAAGTGAACAGTATTTAGATAAGGCTAAAGAGGTCTTTGTGGCATTTATGGATTTGGAAAAGGCGTATGACAGGGTGGATAGGGGGGCAATGTGGCAGATGTTGCAGGTGTATGGTGTAGGAGGTAGGTTACTGAAAGCAGTGAAGAGTTTTTACGAGGATAGTGAGGCTCAGGTTAGGGTGTGTAGAAGAGAGGGAGACTACTTCCCAGTAAAAGTAGGCCTTAGACAAGGATGTGTGATGTCACCGTGGTTGTTTAATATATTTATAAATGGGGTTGTAAGAGAAGTAAATGCGAGGGTCTTGGCAAGAGGCGTGGAGTTAAAAGATAAAGAATCACACATAAAGTGGGAGTTGTCACAGTTGCTCTTTGCTGATGACACTGTGCTCTTGGGAGATTCTGAAGAGAAGTTGCAGAGATTGGTGGATGAATTTGGTAGGGTATGCAAAAGAAGAAAATTAAAAGTGAATACAGGAAAGAGTAAGGTTATGAGATAACAAAAAGATTAGGTGATGAAAGATTGGATATCAGATTGGAGGGAGAGAGTATGGAGGAGGTGAATGTATTCAGATATTTGGGAGTGGACGTGTCAGCGGATGGGTCAATGAAAGATGAGGTGAATCATAGAATTGATGAGGGGAAAAGGGTGAGTGGTGCACTTAGGAGTCTGTGGAGACAAAGAACTTTGTCCTTGGGGGCAAAGAGGGGAATGTATGAGAGTATAGTTTTACCAACGCTCTTATATGGGTGTGAAGCATGGGTGATGAATGTTGCAGTGAGGAGAAGGCTGGAGGCAGTGGAGATGTCATGTCTCGGGGCAATGTGTGGTGTGAATATAATGCAGAGAATTCGTAGTTTTTAAGTTAGGAGGAGGTGTGGGATTACCAAAACTGTTGTCCAGAGGGCTGAGGAAGGGTTGTTGAGGTGGTTCGGACATGTAGAGAGAATGGAGCGAAACAGAATGACTTCAACAGTGTATCAGTCTGTAGTGGAAGGAAGGCGGGGTAGGGGTCGGCCTAGGAAAGGTTGGAGGGAGGGGGTAAAGGAGATTTTGTGTGCGAGGGGCTTGGACTTCCAGCAGGCATGCGTGAGCGTGTTTGATAGGAGTGAATGGAGACAAATGGTTTTTAATACTTGACATGCTGTTGGAGTGTGAGCAAAGTAACATTTATGAAGGGGTTCAGGGAAACCGGCAGGCTGGACTCGAGTCCTGGAGATGGGAAGTACAGTGCCTGCACTCTGAAGGAGGCGTGTTAATGTTGCAGTTTAAAAACTGTAGTGTAAAGCACCCTTCTGGCAAGACAGTGATGGAGTGAATGATGGTGAAAGTTTTTCTTTTTCGGGCCACCCTGCCTTCGTGGGAATCGGCCAGTGTGATAAAAAAAAAAAATATTTCGAATTTCTTTGTTTCACTAATAGTTTTAAGCTGCTCCTGTCTCTCCTGGTTCCTGCAAGAGTCCTTTAACTTAAGTTCGATAGTTTCCACTTTCCTGGTCAGCGCCTCCTTCCGCGTATCGGATATTCTAGCGCTCCTGAGGAGCTCAGCGATTCTTCATCTTCTGTAGAGTGAGCGTCTTTCTCTCCAGTTTACTCCTGCACTTCTCCTTTCTTAGGGGAATATGCCTAGAACATGCTTCAGCTGCCAGGAAGTTGATCCTTTCAAGGCCCTTGTTTGGATCCATGTTATTTAAGATACCTTCCCAACATGTTTCATTTAAGACATGGTTTACCTGGTCCCAGTTGATGTTCTTGTTGTTGAAGTTGTATTTTGTGAAGACAACTTCACAGGTACATGCATTTTGTTGATCAGGACCCCTGTGCATATAAGTCTAGACTTCAATTAGATTGTGATCGGAATTGGTTGTTTTTTATATTGTTGTCTCTTACCAGGTCCTTCTGAATAGAAGTTGCAGAGATTGTTGGATGAGTTTGGAAGGATATGTAAAAGAAGGAAATGAAAAGTGAACACAAGAAGGAGCAAGGTGGCGGTGAGAAAAAATTTAGGTAATGAAAGATTGGATATCAGATTGGAGGGAGGGAGTGGACTTGTCAGCAGATGGGTCTATGAAAGACAAGGTGAACCATAGAATTGATGAGGATGTGGGGGGAAGGTGAGTGGTGCATTGAAGTGTCTGTAGAAAAAAAAAACGTTATCCATGGAAGCAGAGAGGGGAATGTATGAGAATATAGTGGGACCAATGCTCTTATATGGGTGTGAAGCATGAGTGGTGAATGTTGCAACAAGAAGGTAGGAGGCAGTGAAGATGTGTCTGAGGGCAATGTGCTGTGTGAATATAATGCAGAGAATCCGGGATTCCGAGAGTGGTATCTATCGTACACCCATTAATAAATGGCACTCCAGAGTGTTTAGTCTATTGCTTTTTAACGTTATGGAATATGATATATTTGAAGACTGCACATCAATACACAATATACTGTACACAGACGATGGACTAATCATGGTGGAGTCAGATGACATACATGAGGTGACCAGCCATATACAAGCATCTCTGCAGGTTATCTAAAACTGGTGCAACAGATGAAGCTTCAGGATATCGGTGAATAAGACTCGAGTGTATTATTTTCAACACGATGAAAGTCAACAGACCGCCAAGCCTAAAACTACACAGCTGTGCTATTTTACCAATGGATACCCTGATATACATGATATACATTAGAATACACTGGGACAAAAGTGTGACAGAGCCCACATACGCTGTATCTCCGAGCCAGCAAATGGAGAGTAATTGTTTGATACAAAGAGTACATCTATCCACCTACTGTTTATTATAAATGTAATGCATTTAGGTGGGGTGTAAGAAGATACGCGGGAACCAAGGGCATACCATGGGACAATGCAACACTGACAAATGAGTCTCATAGAGAACAGGTATTTGATTATTTACACAGTAGTGGGATGTGGGAACATACGCAAGGTTAGGTGTGATTTTTTTCATAACGTGGTACAGTACTTCCTTTCTCTTGTTTGCCTCTTCAGTGTAGCGGTTCAGTCAACAGCAGGAGAAACCACGTCTAACCACCTAGAGTTAATAGGGTTGCTAACGAAGGGAACATTTCAGGGACTGATTTTGATGGAATATACAGCTCTGGTTCTTTTCCTGGGGTTATATATGGAAGCTTGAGGCAGATGGGTGCCAATCATGGATTGGAACCCCTAAATTTCTATTTCCTATATTAAAAGGCTTAACTATAAATAAATCTGTTATAAGCTCCTGTGTCTATGTATTTCAATAAGTTTGCCAGTCCCAATATTGTTATTACCAGCTTTGATAACGAGTCGTTCTTTACAAACTTCAATAGCAGACAAAAAAACATTAGGAGAGGAAAATATTTCCAAGCTAGATTGTGTACACCTCCCCCTTCCATGGTCCGATCCCAGATGAGGCCTCCCAGTGAATGGCCTGATCAATTAGGCTATTGGTGCTAACCGCACTCAGTCCAACATATGCACCAAACCCAACTGATAAGGAACTGACGAACATACGAAGCTCATTACTGAAGACAGCCAGAAGTCTATTGATAATTCCAGCTATGGATGAAGGGAAGGTGTTACACACACACACACACACACACACACACACACACACACACACACACACACACACACACACACACACACACACACACCGTGGGATCAGGTTAAAGGAATGAGCACCTATTAACTCTACAAGCATAAGGAACTGAACACACCTACCTATCCACATCTTTACTGTCTCCAGAACAAAAATCAGCTCTGTATTCGCTGGAACCTTCCTGCGCTGGAAGTTTTTTCCCCACAAAAATCCCCAGGTGTTCCACACGTGTTTTATTCATCAACAATGCGTTATTACACACCTTTAATGTATACATTACCATCATCTCTGTCATTACCAGTGTTGGAAAGCTAACTATAACCTCATAGCCTGGTTAGTGACACTAATCACCTTACTTATGCCCCACAGTGTGCCACAATGGAGCGCGGGGTGTGGTGTTGTGCCTGCTGGAGGTGGGTCGACTAGCACAGGGCTGGTGGGGGCTCGAACCACCGGGCATCATCAAGCTGGAGAGAGAGATGGACGGCGAGGAATGGTCTGGCAGGTACGTGACACCACACCCACCTATGTGTATATCTCCGTAAATATACAGGTGTGTAAGTATATACTCACACAGTAAGATGTATCTCTGGTATATCTAAAGGTGTATATCAAAAAAAGGTTCAACTCTAAAGGCTGTGTATATACACGGTGTACATGTACACGATGTACATCGTGTACATGCACACGATGTACACCAGTGTACATGCACACGATGTACACCAGTGTACATGCACACGATGTACAGCAGTGTACATGCACACGATGTACACCAGTGTACATGCACACGATGTACATCGTGTACATGCACACGATGTACACCAGTGTACATGCACACGATGTACACCAGTGTACATGCACACGATGTACAGCAGTGTACATGCACATGATGTACAGCAGTGTACATGCACACGATGTACACCAGTGTACATGCACACGATGTACACCAGTGTACATGCACACGATGTACACCAGTGTACATGCACACGATGTACACCAGTGTACATGCACACGATGTACATCGTGTACATGCACACGATGTACACCAGCGTACATGCACACGATGTACAGTGTACATGCACACGATGTAGTGTACATGCACACGATGTACACCAGTGTACATGCACACGATGTACAGCAGTGTACATGCACACGATGTACATCGTGTACATGCACACGATGTACACCAGTGTACATGCACACGATGTACATCGTGTACATGCACACGATTTACACCCGTGTACATGCACACGATGTACATCGTGTACATGCACACGATGTACACCAGCGTACATGCACACGATGTACACCAGTGTAAAAGCACACGATTAACCAGTGTACAGCACACATGTACACGTGTACATGCACACGATTACACCAGTTACATGCACACAGTACACGTGTAATGCACATTTCACGTTACTGCCACGAGTACATCGTGACATCACACAGACCAGGTACATGCACACATGACACATGTACATGCACACGATGACACATGTACAGCAACACGTGACATCGTTACAGCACACGAGTACACAGTGTAATGCACACGATGTAACAAGTGTAAAAGGGCCCGATGTACACCAGTGTACATACACGATGTACACCATTTAAACATGCACAATGTACTCGTGTACATGCACACGTGTACACCAGGTACATCACAGATTACACAGTGTACATGCACACGATGTACACAGTGTACAGCACACAGACACATGTACATGCACACGAGACATCGTGTACATGCCACGATGACACAGTGTACTCACACGAGTACTGGTAATCACCATTTTACCAGTGTACATCACCGTTTAAAACCGGTACAGCCACGAGTACACCGGGTACAGGCACACAGTAACCATGTACATGCCACAAAGTAAAAAGAAACCGATGTACATTGCAGACACATGTCCCAGGTTATCCAGTGGGTAAAAGCACACGATGTAACGTGACTTACCAGTAAATCGTGTACATGCACACGATGTACACATGTAAATCACACGATGTACATCATGACTGCACAATGACATTGTACAGAACGATGTACTCAGTGTACATACCCCGGACATCTAACATCCCACACAAAGTTACATGAACATCCCCCAAACTTCCAATGTAAACAGCACACGTTTACAGGCGACCGGCAACTTCCCCGTTAAAAATTTAATCACCTTACCGGAAAATCCGTTCCCCTCATCCCGGACCCTTTTGGCCCGGGCCCTTTCAGCCCAACCTTTCGCCCTTCAAGGTTAACACCGAGTACCATTCCCTGCCCATACAAACCGATGACCAGGGAAACCGGGCCCTCCATCCCCTTTTCTATACGCCATTTCGGATTACCCACTGTACATCGGCATCCACGATGACCCATTTCCCCCGAGTCCATACCCACCGGCCCGTGTCCCCACCCCACGATGTCTCGGTCAGACCCGTGCCAAGGGCCTTTCCAAAAAAGGGCATCCCCGGCCCGTCATCCCAAATTACCAGGCCCCTCATTACTCCACTTAAACCGCCATCCCGGCCGTCTTCCCGGGGCATTTCATAAATTTATTACCCACCCCCCTTACCCAAAAATTCAATTACAACACACATGTACATCAGGACATACACACGATGTACATGAGTGTCACACGAGTACACACTGTACTGCACACGTGTACATCGTGTAAGCACACGATGCACAGTGTACATGTACACGACCCCAAGCAGTGTACATGCACACATGCCTCAGTGCACTGCAACGATGACATCAGTGTACAGCCACGATGCACAAAGTTGCATGCACACGAGCACTCAGTGCACAGCACACGATGTACTCAGTGTACATGCACACGTGTCATCATGACATGCCACGATGTACATC